GTCTCCATGCTGTTTACATCAGTTTACATCCATATTTTTTTTACTTCCAGCCACTGACGTGACCCATACCTACTCACCCCAAAGTCAGCAGAGAGCACGTTGTACGTGGTGATCACCACATCCTGAGAGGACAGGAACTTCTTGTTCCTGTTGCGCTCCGAGCCGTAATACAGATAGATGTTTGGCTTCACGTTAGAACTGAGGTGCTGCTCAAACTGGTCCTGCTCACAGAGAAGGAGAGAGTTAACACATCCTCGCCATGTGTGTGTGTGTGTGTGTGTGTGTGTGTGTGTGTGTGTGTGTGTGTTGGGTTCTCACCAGCCAGTTGCTGAGGACCGAGAGAGGACAGATGATGAGAGTCGCTCTCACAGATAAGTCCTCGGTGTCGTCGATGATGGATGATTGCACATCTGAACAAAGCGCACACAGACCATCTTTACTCCCCTTTAACGTGACTGCAGGCATGTGAAACAGCGTTAAACTCACCTTGTTTGATCTTTTCTGCAGTTTTCTTCTTCTTCTTCGGGCCTGGATCTGATGTTGAGCTGCTCAGAGCTGCAGCAAAGTCAAAATCCTCAAACACAACTGGGTCTGTGTGAGGAAAGACGGGAAAGTATTTAACTGGTTCTGTATCTGATTGTTGCTACAGCTAATGGAGCTCCTGTCACATTCACAGAAAACTGGGACTGCACCTTTACTGGGTTTCCGCTTGGTCGGTTTCTTCTTCTTCTTTAACAGATCTGAGAGTAAAAGAGTCGTGATTAAAGAAGCCACACAAATGGAGGCGTGTGGACAGATAATTAAAAAGTAAAAGCTGAAATGGTTGAGAAAATAAATTCTTACGTTCTTGTGGCTCATCTTCTCCCACCGCCACATCTGCTGCATCAACATCAATCACCTCCTCCTTTGGACTGAGAGAAACATAAGACAGTAAGAATTCATTCAGCCGAAACACAAAACCTGATGCCACAAAGTGATATCAAAGATGCTAATGGAAATAAAAAACATGCTTACAGGTCTGAGCTCTGAGAACCAGCAGGGTTCATCTCTCCTGGTTTAACATCTGCTCTGCTGCTGCTTTCTGAAACAAACACACCAGCTTGCAGCTTTAAAAACCTAAAACTGAGGAAATGCTGAGTCAGCATTCACACGATATTTGCAATCCAACCGCATCTGCGAACTTTGGGCTATTTCAGTTGTTCATGTCTAAATGTTCAGCTCAATCAGATGAATGTTGCTTTTTGTAACTTTGATATTTCTAAATATTTGACTYTATTCACAGTTAAGAGTTTTTCATTTAAATACATCTTTTTTATTCTTTTAAAACATTGTTCTCTGAGAATTACTTCAGAAAACAAGCTCTATTTTTGTCTTCTTATGCTAATGTTAGCTAGTTCTTGTTATATTTAGCCTTTAGCTTCTATAAATTTATTATATAGCTTCTTTCTATTTTTAGTCTTTAGGTACGTTACAACTTTTAGATTTGAGCTACTTTATCTAGCTACTTGCTACTTTTAGCTTTTAGTTAGACTTTTGCTAATATTAGCAAGCCTTTTCTACTTTAATCCATTAACTAGTCTTTTGCTAATATTATATTAGCTAGCCTTTGCTATTTTAAGTTATTAGCTAGCATTTCGCTACTTTTTAGCTAGACCACAAGCTAAATAAACAGGTTGACAAGTTGCAAAAATATTTTGGTTATCTTTTGCTACTAATAACTAGCCGATTTCCTGCATTTAGCTAATTTTTGCTATGAGTTRGCCTTTTTCTTTTTTCTATTTATTAAAGTAACATTTTGCTATTTTCAGGTAGCATTTTGCCTCTTTTTAGCTTGTAGCTAGTATTTTGCTACTTCCGCCTTTCATAGCTTTATCGTTGACTTTCAGCTTTTTAAAGAAATTTCAGCAAAGTCTTTCAGCGCTCAACCTTCATGGTTTTTTTTTTAGAAAATGTTGAAAGTGAAATGCAGAAATGAAGGACAAGATAAAACAGCCAGAGGTAGAAGTTACCTTCCTGTTTGCAGTTTTCCTCAGGTTTAGTGTTACTTTTGGTCGGTGAGAACCACTGCTTCTGTTTATTTAAATAAAACAAATTAAAGCACTGATGTCACCAAACGTTCAAACAGTGTAACGAGTAACAAGAATCCAGCTGCTCACATATTTCTCCACAGGCAGGGGCTTTCCTTTGTGAAAGTTGGTGAGGATCAGTGCGATTGTTGTCAGAGTTTTACCCTGGAAAACACAAATCCAGCAGCACATTCTGACTACAGCAACACAGCCTTTAGGGCCAATAAAGAGAAATGCTAGAACACAAGTTATAAACTTAATGCGTTCAGATATGTGAATTATTCAACCTGACCCTCACCAGTCCCATGTCATCTGCCAGGATCCCACCTCGGACCCTTTCTGGTATTTCTTTAGCAGAAAAACACGTGAGGATGTTGTAGTACAGCTCGCCTCTCTTCTCCCAGAACGGAGGCAGCGTGTCTTTGTTTTCCCGAGAGCACATCCAGGACAGAGCCTGYTTCTGGTGAGGAAGGAGGGGAGTGGCCACAGCCTGCAGGGACCAAAAAAAAGCTTCATGGTTATTTAAAACATGCATTTAAATAAAGCTTTCAATATTTTTTTAGTTTAGAATTTTGTTTCAGGTCCTAAATGTATTTTAACATAATAATAATAACCAAACCTCAAATCAAGGTTCAAATATCCATTTCATTATCAGGTTACAGTATATGGTTGTAAAATTAAATTAAAAAGTAATGTGTCATGTCTGCCAGTTAGACAAGTAAAAACTAAAGTAACAGGAGCGCTGAACATAATAATAATAATAATATCAATAATTTCACTGGTTATAAACTGCTAAAGCTTGATAACTTTCTGATAAAATAAGCTAAGACCTTTCAGCTAAACAACACCGGGAAAGCTAAGATTCACCTTCAAAATAAAAGCTTAAAGTTGTTAATWGACAACAAATTCCTGCTAAAAAAGAATTATCGCTATTATAATTGCAATTACATTTTGAAATGTGTAAACCAGGGTTTCTTTCTCTCTTTTGTCGTAACATTTGAGCGCTAGCTTGTTGGACTGGTGACAACAGCAGGAGCAAGACCAAATCAAACTGTTGAGGAAAGAAAGGCTGAACAGATGTGATGTTTACCTCAGCTGCTTCCTTCTCCCCATCTTTACTCTCCATCAAACCTTCAAACAAGTTATCAAACGCATTCTTTAACTGGAAGAGAAAAACAAAAAGAAAAGCYGAGAAAGCAGTTGTTTTATTTGTGTACATAAAATTTTAATAAGAACATCGAATCTAATCTAAAATTTTGCATCATTTCATTCCAAACAGAGCGCGAAAGCTGATTATTTTGGAGTTTTTTTTCTTACCTCCTCTGCAGTTAGTGGGATGGTCACACCTTTCTTGGATGAAAAGGCACGAGCACCTGAGCTGCTGGATGATTTCTGAGAGCCACCTGAAAACAAAGCCCAGCGAATGAAATGAAGTGGAAGACTGCAGAGGTCTTCAAGTCAGGAAACAGAAAACAACACAAAATGTGGAYGCGCACCTGTTGACCCGCTTCCATCTGTGTTCAGTTTGTATCCTCGACCTGCCATGTACTTCAGCACAGTGTCTTTGTTCTCCTCTTTCCCCCAGAACGACAACATGACGGGCATGGAGAAGGTGTTGTTCGTCCCCCAGGGCACCACCCTGAAAACGGGAGGGAGTCGTGGTTGCTGTGATTTCATTAGAAGAGGATTTCGTCACTGAACAGCCAATCAGAACTCACCCCTCCACTTTAGCCAAGTTGTTGTCCATCACGTGGGCCATGGCTGCAGCCAGCTCCTTCTTGATGTGTCCAACCTGACTCCCGTACACGTTGGTGACCTTCACCGCGTTACGATCGTACTGGTTTTGAGGCTCCCGCACTAAACCCACCATCTCCCCCCGGTTCACCTGTTTAAAGAGCGACATGGTGGTGGGTTTTAGGATTTGTGAGAACATGTTTTATTCCTTGTCTGATTTATAGAAGCAGTGACTTTGTCTCCTAAACCAGGGGTTCTTAACCTTTTTGACCTTGGGGTCCAATTTGTTGAACATAAAGTGTCACGAGGCCCAGTCAGACATTACC